CTGAAAAAAGTTTGTTGGCCCCTGTTTCAGAGCGACATGAAGCGTAGCTATGGATATGAACTCCCCAAAATTAAAAACAAGTAGAGTCCACCTGCGTGTAAAATAACATCTACACAGACGAAGGCCAACACTGAAAGAAACCTGGTCAGGAAACGTTTCACTGTTGGTAAGAGGATGGATGGACAATCCTGGATGAAAACCTGATGAAAGTTATGAGAACATTGTGAGCAGAAAGGAGGATGAAAAGAGTCAGGAAGAGCACTTTAATGCTCTTTAATTTTTAATGATAATCAGACGTTTTCCTACTACAAAGCCACTAAAATAGAGGTGGGAAATATGGACTTCAAGTTTTATCACGATATTTTGCGGTGCTATGATGATAACAATAAAAGTGACAATAACTATTTATTGTTTATTACTCGGTTTTTAGGTAACTGTGTGGCACAGCAGTCATAGCCTCACAAACACAAATACTGCTCTTCAAACACAAACTAATTTGAATAACAAGCGTAATTTGAAATACGCTTCCATAGGACACCAGCCACATAAAGGGACACATAAATATTTTGTATCCCTAACAGTGTAGCCGCGTTTATTCACATTTTTGAATTTATTGATACATGTTGATTGAACAAACGGTGAAGACAAATACTAAAAAAAAATAAAAATAAAGCAATCCTGAAAATACGGACAGTTTTAGGGGCTTCTAAACACCACTATTTGGAATTTGGATAAATTTATCACGATAAGTGATAAATGATACAATAAATTTCACAGCAGTACTCTGAAGCCATCTGATAAAACCAAAACGATGACCATACATGTTTACTCGTCCCTGACTGCATTCCTCTCAGCATCCATACTGAAAGTCACATTTTCTGGTTCAGTTGAATTGCAGGCCACATAAAACAGGCGGCGAAGCAAATCTCTGCCTCCAGTTATTTTGACATGTCTATCCTCTGGAATGCTTTCTATCCAAATCGGCAATATGAACGCTAGCAAAAGAAAAAAAAAAAGAAGGCCAAATAGCATCTTGTGTGTCTCTTAGGTCCTGTTAGCTGCTGAAATGTAGCTCAGATCTTACATCTGAGCAGCTGTGCCCCTCTCCCCCCACTCCACCTCCACTTGTTGTATCCCACACTTGAGCTTCGACGATAGCCAGCACCGGCAGCCTTCATCTGCCATCAGCGGTGGAGATGATTTAGCTCAGAACGCACGTGAACCGTGCGGCCCCCTGGGGTCGGCCTGCATTATTTCACAGTGAGGACCTCTTCTCTAATGCGGCTCCTGGCAGCCTGACGACACTCGGAGCAGGCCTCCATCAGCCGCAACGCTAACAGGGACCGCCGCCAAACACTTTGGAGCTCCCAGTAAACCATGCAGTGACAGTAGAGATTGGATCCTCACCAGGGCCGTATACGCCTCATAAATGTTTAATTTCCCTCTCTGATTGTTATTGATACAGGCGGGGAGGGGCGCCGGGGCGATTGGTGGCAACGCGAGGCTGCTCATGCCTTTTGTCTTCATTTTTAATATTCATGTAATAAAATGCTGCTGCTGCTGTGGAGGAATTGAAAGCGCGAGGTTTCCCCTTCGCTAAAGCGGCTCACTTTGTTTTGCCAGAAATAGACGGAAGATGTGAGGAGAGTTATCAGCAGCTAAAATCGCAGGTGCCTCAACCTGGGTGAAAAGAGTTCGTCTCCCGGGGGCAGAAATAAACCCGGAGGTGGATGCGGCACACCGACACCAGTCGACTGGGGAGGGAGGGACGAAGGAGGGTGGGGGTTACAAAGTGACATAAGAAGGTATCCTCCTTTTCCTCGCTTTGTTTGGACTGGGACGGATAAATTTCCTCCCCGCCGCGAGAGTGTCTTTCCATGCTGACTGAAGCGCAGCGGGACTGAACCAGCAATTAGACAGTGAGGAGAGAGGAGGTTTGGTTTGGAGGGGGGGGGTGGGGTTTGGGGGAAAGGGGGGGGGGGAGCGAGGCTTCGACAAAGATGTCTCTGGTGGAGAAGAGTGGGATCAAAGCTAGTTTTAAGGCAGAAAGGATGCAGAGGATGTGGGTGCAGGGATGGATAAAGAAAGCAGCACTTTATCTTGCCGTTTGTTGTGCGTATGTAGCGTTAGGAGTGTATATAATCCCTGCGCTCAGCCCCATCAAACCTACACACGCAGTTTGTTTGCCCTCTGAAGAATGCACGCTTCATGTTCAGTGAGCACAACCTGCCACGAAGAAGTCTTCAGACCGCTTGTTTCACTTTTTGTCCTAACCACAAACTTGATGTGTTTTATTAGGATGGTGTGCAGTAGGTTCTGACAAAGTAATTCATAATTATTAAGTGGAAGGCAGGATATAGGCAAACCTGTCACAATACGCAATTAATCGCGTAATAAACTGAAAATGAGCTCAATAATTTCCATTCTGACGATTAATATGTTTTATGACACGTCATAATCCATTTAATATACGGTTTTATTTTTGCTTTATTCTCTATTTTTGATTGTTTTATTTGGGATATTTAAAATATCCAGAAATGTTCCTTTATTAGTCTTTGAGAGGGGCAACTTGCATTGCTATCGATGTATCACTTGAAAATTATCTCAAAATGACAACATTATCGTTCACAGCAATAATTAATGGGGCAATTTGTCGCCCAGCAAAACTAGTTATTGTAACTAATAAGTATACGAGGTTTTCAAAAATATTTCATGAAAACAATTTTTTTTAAAATTGGGATTGCCTTTGTGCACAACCCTTTTTAGCCTGATACCCCTAAAATAAAGTCCAGAACATTCTTAAACAAAATTGGTGTCAAATGTTTCTACTGCTTTGTGCACCAAAAACTTTTGTTTGTGTCGTTATCTTTATTAAGATTTTAATAGAAGGTTTTTAGAAGTCATCAGCGATCAACCTGCCCTCCACTACCCACATGAGCAAATCAATTAATTGTGTTACAAATGTGCTGGTTTGTGCATTTTGTCCTCTAATTTTTGTTTGATTTTGTAAATATGGAGGCTTTGGTTGACCTTTGACATCTGTGATCTCTGGAAACTATTTTTATTAACATCTTCGAAATGATCGAAGCACAAATGAAAATTTTAGTTGCGCAAACGTTTGACACCAAATTTGATTGATTTTGGGGAAGATAATTATGTCCCTAATTTTTTTATCAATTATATCACAGCAGGTTTTATTTGTATGCTGCCAAATTGCATCAATGTGAAAAGAGCTTCCACATTATTTAATTTTACCGACTCATCTACTGCAGAGGCAGCTATTTATTTAGAATCTAAGTTTAACAGGAAGTTTGATCGGCACATTCTGCCCCAACTGGACATTTGGAGACATTTGTGTTCTCTTTGTGGCCCAAAATGAAGATGAGTTTGACGCCCCCGCCCTAAGTGGTTCTACAAAGTATCGACTCGGATGAATAAACTAGGGGTGAACAGATTGCAGTTTTCTGGCCGATCCCCAATCCCTTTTTTTTGTTTGTTTTTTTCCTGAAATGTTGCAAAATATGCAAATAAAGTTGCTGAGTTGGCAACAGTGGAGCGACTATTGCAGACATGATCTGGTGGCCCGTCAGCCGAACCGCTCTCACAGCGCAGCAGAAGAGAACAGCAGCTGATTTTTATGCCTTTGCTGAGGTAGATGATATCATCTTCACATGTAATTATCGGCCGATCGCATATCTCCCAAACTTAAGGAAATCGATGCCGATTTATCCATGTATCCCGAGAATAAATGTGACATAAATGTAAAGACATTAGAAAATCCGTTTCCCTTCCTCAGGTCACAGTTTTGCCTCTACATTGTGTTTACATGAACTGTAAATGACACAACATGACCGAACGTGGGAAATGGATGGGAATACTTTTGTCAGTCATTTTAGATATTACCAAACAGGTTGATCTATTAGTAGGTTTTCCGTAGGAGTAAGAGTTTGCCTGCGTGGTCGTTTTTGGTGATGATGCACCGATTGTGTTCTTTGAATCCACTAATTCTACCCTGGTAGATTTGTTTTTGTTCACCAGCACATCTTCTAGCTGAAAATATAATAATAATAAAAAAGAGAAGGCTTGAGTAAATATATGCAAAACTTGCCACTCACATTTCAAAACAGGCTGCGCTGCGGCTGCAACTTAAAGTCAAAGCTTTAGTCCTCTTGAGTATCTGGGGTCGGCAGCAGAGGTTGCGAGTGAGCTTTGTGGATTATCAGCATGTGCAGATATGCCTCGAGGACGGAGAGACGCAAGAGTCTGTGGTCAGAAGCCTGGATGTGATGAAGGCTGAGTAATCTCTTTCGCCTCCTATTGCTGTATGTTTGGCCTTTTACCTATCTATCTATCTCGCTAATATCCTCTCTCTGCCATTAAATGCTGAACCACAATTCTGCACCAGGGAGCAAAATAATAAAAAAAAAACAAACAGGGGACAAGAAAATAGAGTTGAGAGGAAGAGAGAGAGACAGAAGAGGGTGAGGGGGAGAGAATAAGAAATGCGAGCAGATGGGCAATCTGTGTAAGCGAGGTAACTTGATGAAAGGAGCAGAGAAACAAGAGAAAGAGGTGGTTTAAAGGGTGGAGGCAGATGGATGTAGAGGCAGGACAGGGAAGAGGCAGATGGGTGGAAAGGACTGAAAGATTATACAGACGGATAGTGGCTGCTTTTGCAGGATGACTGTGATTATACGTAATATGACATTTGCAGGGCCACTGTCCGCATCAACGTTAATTTTTTTATTTATTTATTTATTTATTTTTTCCCCTCTCAACGATTCCGCCAGTGGCGTGTTTGGTCCAGTGAGTTAATTAGCTGCATGCATCAGTACTCACCCCTGGTCCCATATGTATGTTCCACACCTGGTGCTATTTCCTCTCACATTCACAGATTCACATCCTCCCCACACCCCCACCCTCCATCTCAACACGACTCACCCATTTTGCAGCAGTCTGGCGTTTCGCGTACCAGACCGCCAAGGAGCGTTGATGAGTGATACCTGCGTCGAGCGGCCCGTGCTCGGTGTCGCCCCCCCAAGGTGCTGCTGGGGATTGTCGTCTGTCTGTGTTTCGTTCTCCAGCTGCACACCGACATGGACAGAGGGGACGGGCGCACCAAGTACATGCTGGAGGGGGAGGGAGTCGGCTCTGTGTTTGTCATCGACGGCAACACGGGCAACATCCACGTCACCAAGGCCCTGGACCGCGAGGAGAAGGATGAGTACCGGCTCACGGCGACAGCCACTGACAGGGAGACGGGCCGGGCCCTGGAGCCCTCCTCCGAGTTCATCATCCGGGTGCAGGACATCAACGACAACCCGCCCATCTTCCCCGACGAGCCCTACGTCGCCGTGGTGCCGGAGATGGCCAACATAGGTACGGCGCCGGAGGGGAAGAAACGTGATTCTGGTAGTGGCGGAAGATTGAGACCGTCTGAAGTACGTCATCATTTTTAGTCACTTCTGCCCAAATCAGAAGAGCTAGAGATCTGTGGTGAACGGTAAACAAAGAAGTGATCAGCTACTCAAAATAAACTTTAAAGCTACAATATGTCTGATGTTTACATATTTGTTAAAACTGTCACCCTGTTGTGACAGTATGAGACAGTTAATCTATAAAATCGATCTTCTCCACCTCCTCCATGAGCTGCTTTAGCGATCTGCAAAAATGTGCCAGTCAAAAACAACCAATCAGAGACAGGAGGAGAGTCTTATCGCTGTCAATCACCCTCATATAAACGCTGTTAAATGTGCTAATGGGGAGAAACCACTCGCCGTTACAGAAAAACTGCTTATCCGCTGTCATTGACGGCTATGCTAACTAGCATTAGCATTCATAGCAGCTCCTCAACTGATGGGGAGAAGCTGTAGAGTAGCAGAGCGCAAAGGGAAGTGTGTGAGCCGCACTACACAAGCATGATTGACAGCGCTAAAACCCTCCATCTGTCTCTGATTGGTTGATTCTGCCCAAGTTGTGTATTTCTGCAGTTGGCACAGGTGAGAGTTTTAACAAATATGTAAACACACACACACACACACACACACACACACACACACACACATATATATATATTCTAATAAAAGTTTCATTCTGTAGCGTTAGGTGGTTTAAGTGATTATCTGTTCTGACCTAATTGCTTTCCTTTAAAACACAAAAGCTTGTAAACAACAAATAAGTGTAGGTGCTTTGTTTTAGCCAGTTTGCTGCAACAAGTGGGGGAGGGGGGATCGCTGCACTACTCACTGACCCTTACAGACATTGTAAAGGTCATTGTCTTATTATTAAAATGGCTTTGATGATATGACATAAAATGTGATCTGTTTTGAAACTGGAACTAAAGCCTCAGAATGCCTTGGTGCCGGTACCGATACCAGTATCAGTACTCGGTCAATACCTAGAGGCTACATGTGCTCCTGCTGCAGGTCAGATGCTAACATTCACCCTAAACCTTGTGATGATATAATGATCTTCTTTTCCTCCACATTCGCTCATGCTTGTCGACGTTTCAGTTGTGGTAAACATTTAGATTTAGACTCCAGCCGCTTTCTTGTAGATATTCTGGCTAATTAAAATCTCCACACATCTGCCTTACTTAAATGACATGTTCTCTTGTCTATCCCTTCTTGATCAGGAGCTTCGACAAGAGGAGAACATCATGTCATGTTTTCACACCAAGGAAACAGAAAGTCTTGAATTAGTAACTAGACATTCCTGAATTTTAAGCTCCAATTACATTTATTTCATTGGAATATTTACGCCTACCGGCAATTGTGACACTTTTGGCTTTGCTACTCCATTATGAGGGTTTTCACCCTGATGATTTTTCTTATTTTCCTCAGTGCTGCAATAAAAGGTGAATTCCTTTTAAGACGGCCAACAGATTATTTTTTTTTTATCAGAGGTGCCAATTAGTCTGCAGGGTGCTGCATCTGATCACGGACTCTGCATTAGCATTCATCACACATTTCATCTGAGGAGCCTAAGATTATCTCACAGCCTGTCCAACAGCGGCTCGCGCATTTCAGCCAGGATTAAGCTGTGGACTCAAAATCAAACCAGTTGTCGATTTTCAGATAGCCTGGAGAAGAAGTCATGCGTTTAAACTTTTCTGTGCAAAACTTGAATATCAACTTTTACTTCAAAGAAATGTTATTCTGGTCTCTTAAGCCAATATTAATTACAGGTCTGCTGTTACTAGTTGGGTTTTCTCAAAGCCTTTTCATTTGATGAACTCGTTCTTTGTCCTTGTCCCTGACTTCGGCAGCATGTCATCGCAGTCTTCTAGCCTGAACAAGCTTCCTCGGCAGAAAGATGCAAGTTTTAGGGTAACATTTTCTACAAAGTCGGTGAACGTGTGAACCTGCACGTCCTGGTTAATCGTTCTACTCGTTTTGTTGTAAGTCGTTATTTAATCAGCTCCCGTCCCAAATTTGAGCTCTCTACAGAACTTTCATCTGCGTTTTTCTCCTTTTTAATCAAATTTTTCTGTTTCAGTTTTCCGGCAAAAAAAAAAAAAAAAAAAAAAAAAAGAAAAACGTTTGAGCCAGATGAAAGAGCACCGCATGAACTCCATAAAATTTCCGTCACTCTAAAACTCACAGAAGAGGTTTTTGTAAGGGAAAGTGACGCAGAGTGGAATCGCTCGGTTTGATATGGGAGATCTTGACTGATCGTTTCATGCGAAGTTGTTCTGAAAACCATTTGCTCTGGCTGATGAGCTCCATCACGGTGATTTTCAAGCCCCAACAATGTTCCCTGCAGAATTGCTGCATCCTGCTACCTCTGCTAAAAAAATAAAAAAAAACGATTCCCAGGCAGACTTACTTATAATACCACCAAGGGGGAAGCTTTGAAATCAAACTCTGTCTCAAATATGGAAAGCCGAACCCCTGGCGACCTAAATACAACTTATGTAATTTTGAATCTGATCAGGGAGGTTTTTTGGGAAAAGCGAGGTTCAAACAAACTGAGTCTTTCGCGACAGATCGGGTTAACATCTCCGGTCCAGAACGGCTGGTAGTTGAGTTAACTCTGAGGAAATCTCAAGTTAAGTTTGTAAAAAGTGTCAGACATATCAATTCACCATGGCAACTGCTGGAAGGACAAAAAGAAGATGCCGGTGCGGCTTGACGTCATCCAGCTAGCTAGCAGGTTATCTTCACAGTTTGTTACCACGGTGATAAGTTCAGAGTTATATTTAGTTTTCTGCATGGAACTAAAACTAACACAACTAACCAACTAAAAGTTCCACCAGCAGATTATTTCACTTATAAGACGGGAAAATGTCTTGTTATAAATTTTAAAAAAATCTGTCTGTGCAACTAGACATTAAGGAATTATGTGCATAAAACAAACTAATATTTGCTGAAATATTTGTATGTTGGTTTTGTCTCATTTTAAGAGCAAAACCAGACCAAAATTACTTTGTAAGATTCTATGTTTTTCATTTCCAGTGAAATAGTTTCTTTGCGACAGACTGTTAATAACAAAGATCTAATTTAAAATAACACCGGTTAATCCCCTGAGGCTTTTTTTTTTTTTTTTTTTGCCTTTTTATGCCGGAATGACTCTTCAGTGTTAAGTGGCCTTTAAAGCAACAAGCGGGGCTCAAAGAGAGTGAAAGAAAGCTGTCAAAGTTCGAAGACAAGCTTTAGAAAACTTTCAGAAAGCCCAGAGGGAACCGCTGATCATCACCCCGCTGCCAGTAAATACAAGGAAATCTGGTTCTGCTGAGGCTAAATATAAAGAAATTGGCTTCAGATTGTAGAATCAAATTTTCACTTGACACATTTTCTTTCCACACTTGGGCTAAACACACCGCTCCAAGCATGACATTCGGAACATTTTGTGAGCAACAGGGAGGCAGGAGGAATTGCATTATCCCATTTGGTCTAACAGATTTAACCACTGAATAGGCAAAAGGAAAGAGTTTGGACCTAATAATAATAATAATCTGATTTTAATTTGGAGCCTTGCCTTTTGCGTTTCGCAGGCACTTCCATAACCCGGGTCACGGCCACAGACGCCGACGACCCGACGTACGGAAACAGCGCCCGGCTGGTCTACGGGATTTTACAGGGCCAGGACTTGTTCTCTGTGGATCCTCAGACAGGTTTGTTCACCGTCGGCAGCAATTAGCGCCGTTTCATAAACGGTTTCTCCAGCTGATGGGAACACTTAACAAAGTTAATCCTCATCATATGGTTACGTTTTATCCGTTCCCACCATATGTTCGGCAGAAAACTAGATTTTTTTCTCTCTCTCTCTTTCTCTCTCTCTCTCTTTCTCTCTCTGAGTCAGTTTAGGGAAAGAGAGGTGGCCCGGAGTCGCATGTTCGGAAATCTCCTCGTTTTAAAATGTATGACTCGCTTTGATGCTAACGCGAGGAGACGGCGTGTCACTGTGAAATCTGGAGCTGTTGTGATTCTTCTTTTTCTTTTTTTTTTTTTTGTTGTGCTCCCCGCTTCCCTCTCCACCAGGCATCCTACGGACCGCCGTACCTGATATGGACAGGGAGACGCAGGACGAATATCTGGTGGTCCTCCAGGCCAAAGACATGGGCGGACATCTGGGTGGGCTGACGGGGACCACGACCGTCACTGTGAAGCTGAGCGACGTCAACGACAACCCGCCCCACTTCAGACGCAGTGAGCGCACCGACCGCCTTACCGGATTGCCACGTCAGCCGCAGTGGCTTCTGATCGTAGCCATAGCGACGAGCGCATGAGGATCACTGGACGATAGAGCGTCCTGCGATGACAGAGAGTTTGGATATTTTCCACCTCATTTGGGTTCAGGATGAGAGCTTAGTGTTTCTTACCGAGTCGTTGTTATGGAAACTCGCTCTCGCATAGCGTGAGCTGCAGAGGAAGTGAAGTCGCAAAAGTATCGATAACCCTTTGTCAGATTATAACCATAAATATGAATGTACTTTAATGGGGTTTTATGTGATCGGGCAGCAAAAAAATAAAAATAAAAATATATATATTTTCAGCATTTTGAATATGAACTGAAAAGTGTGGCATTCACTTGTTTCCAGGCCTGCTGAGAAGTGCAGTTAAAGAGGATGGTAGAGCCTCTGTGGACAGCAGCTTTTAAGATTTAGACTTTGACTAGGCCATTCCAGCACATGATTGTGCTTTGATCTGAACCATTCCACTGTGGCTTTGGCTGTATGTTTTAGAGTCGTAAATCTGGAAGATGAAACTCGCCCACAGCTTCATGGGTTTTGCTGCTCCTCGCAGGTTTTCTTCCATGACTTCCTCCAAATAAATGGGCTAAAGGGATCCTTCACTGCGATCTCTTACAATCTGAAGCTTCACTTGTTGGTTTGGAAGCACAGCTTCTACACTATTTCTTCTGTTAACTCTTTGAGGTCCCTTAAAGGGACAGTATTATGTAAAATCAACTTTTTTTGAGACAGAGGCCCAATTTTAACCCGCTAAATTACAAAGTCAAATTTCTTCTAAGTCATATTTGACATATACAATATTTTTATAACTGAAGGTAATTTTACTTGATTGTGCTATAAAACAGTTCTATATGGCTGGAAAACACACACCACTGCCCCTTTAATTTTGTGCTTCATCTGTTTCCTTTGACTATAAAAATTGCCTTTAATAATATCCATAAAATAATATTTATTGACATCATTTTTTTCTCTCTCATCTGACCAGAGCGTCGTGTTCGACTTGTTTGCTGTGTCTCCTATTTATCTTAAGGCTAACTGTTATCCGACTGGTTTTGATCAAAACGTTGGTTGCGGTTGGTTCTTTTCTGCTCTTCCCTCGTTCTGATGAAGAATTGAACTCTGATCTTTAAATCTCAGAACGTTCGCTGCTTTAATCTGCTCCACGAGTTTCTCTTCGACATTCCCACCTTACTTTTTGGTTTTCCTGATGCCTTGTTTTTTATTTTGTTTTGTTTTTTTGTGTGTGTGTCAACACAAATGTTTGCTCCTTGTCTCTGTTCATCACATAAAATCCCAATAACACACGGAGAAGTTTGTGGTTATAACGTGACAAAATGTGGGGAAAGGTTGTGTGTGGTCGGGTGTGAGTAATGTTTCATTTTATTTTATTTTATTTTATTTTATTTAATTTTACTTTGCGAGGTACTCTATGTAAGCATCCCATAGTGGTCCCTAAAGTTTACACGGACTGCGTCTTGATGCAGAAGAGTGAAAGATCATGTCCCTTTTTTTCCCATCAAAGCTTTTTCCCGGTTCCCCGCTATTAATATTTCATCTTATAGTTCAGTGCTTTCTGCTTCAATAGACAGCAAAATCACTGCAGAATGTGTCCAACAGTTTCAGCAAAACCATGCATTTCTTTATATACTACCTCATCCCTGTATGCTTTTCCCCGCCGTCTCCACTCACTGCCATTCATCTTAATGTTTAAAGCCCCCCACACCCCTCTCTCTTTCTTCCTTATGTTGATATATTGTGCTGCAATACAGGCGTTTTATGGAAGCGATATTATAATTCCAGACAGCACCAGCATGTTATTTATTTACTGATATCTGATGATATATCCCCACTTCACTGCAGGGCGTTATTTTCACTTTGACAATAATGCCACAGTTTTAGCGAATGGCTCATTTGGCATGCTCTTTGAAAGCGAAGGGTGTGTTTTTATTTATTTATTTATTTTTCGGTTTAATGTGCCTGTTTATGAGGAGGAAGCGCTGATTTGATTAAGGTGAAGTCTTTCCTCGGGATTTTTTGCTACCGTGCCGCATCAAAACGAGCGGCGCTCATTACGGGATGCCAGGTAGACGACACGATCCTCCGCCGGTCGCTGGCTGGCCTCTCGGCGCCTGCAGAGGTGACAGCAGAACAGATGAACTCTGTCAGGCTGCGGGTCTCCGTTTGAAAAGCTTCAGTGTTTGTGCCAAATACTGTAAAAGCTACATTTAGGTTGGCATGCAGGGGGAAAAAAATTAAAAGGTTTCCCCATTAAAAATGTCAGATTAGACTCTCAATTTTGATTGTCAGTCTGAATTTAAATTTCAGTCTGGTCAAGGTACGGCGGTGGTAGCGTGATGGTGCGGGCATTGCTGTAATTGAAGAAATTCCCAAAGGAGAAAAGAAAACCTGCTTCCTTTGGGTTTCAGTGCAGTTCACTGATCTGAAGCAGAGGTGGGCGGATCGATCCAACAATATCGATTATATCGATACCAAGTCAATATCGGTATCGGATCAATTCCAGCGTGATAACATTCATGGTTTAGTTTGTGTTTGTTCATTTATTTCAAATTGACTATGCATGACATATAATAGTTAGCCAGTATATAATTCATATAAATATAATACATTGCAATGCAATAAAGACAAATTAACAAAACTCTTCTATAAAAAGGAGATTTATAATAATAGGATAGAATAGAATTTATTGATCCCCAAAGGGAAATTGCTTATTCGTTGACAAGCTACTCCATGTGACTTAATAAATATCAATAAAACGAATATAACCATATGAGACGAAGTTGATAACAAATGAAAACCATTTTTATAAAAAAAATTTGTTTTTTTTAAATTTCCTTTTGCAGTTTTGTTTTTATCTTTGTAATGTAATCTCTCAACTCTACTGCAAAGAATATTTTGCTCTCAAATGATATATTATTTTGCATTTTAGGAAAAAAATCCACAGAAAGTCATTTTGTTTCTTTTTATCATAGAGGTTGGTCATTAAAGTATTTTGTAGCCACCTATAAAATTAGTCCAAATTCTGCCTTAGGTTTGAACAAAATTCTTCAAAGGAAAAACCATGAACATACATGATGAAGTTTGATGTATCAAACTTGGATAGTAAAAAGTATCGGTATCGGTATTGGCGATACGGAGCTTGTATTTATCTGGAATCAGATCGATACAGAATCACACCTCTAAATCGAAGAACACCAGCAAATGCCTCTCTGATTGGCTTAAAAGAAGCAAAATTAAGGTTTTGGAGAGGCCTAGTCAAAGTCTAGACCTAAATTCAATTGGCATGCATGAACACATGCTTTTCATACTTCAAAGAGTGTAGCTAAATTGAAACATTGTTGCAATGAAAAGTAGGTTGAAAGTCATCTGCAGTGATGCAAAAGACTCACTGCAGTATCTTTGCAGTGATACAACCAGTTATTAACTTTAGAGTCCAATAACTTTATATATTTATATATATATTTTTTTACATAGAACAAAGTTAGTTTGCATACTTTTTTCCTTTGGTAAATGTTAATCTTTATTTGAAAACGTAACATTTTGACATTCAGTGGTTTTAACTCTCATTGTTTGATGTTCTTCCCTTATGAAGTTAATTTAATGTCGGTATCCATTAATAATTAAAGAATTTAGCTTTTTTTATACATACTGTCAGTCGCAGAAATGTAAACTAAGCATTGCATCTGTTTGACATTTACGACTTCAAGCTTCAGTTTAAATTCATCTCCATGTTAACACAGAGTGATCATCATCCTCATGTCTGTTATTCTTAGCCTGTTCAGTTTCCATTTCCTGACCAGAACCACAGAAACGATGCTGAAGGTTTGAAGATAATTGGTCTGAAACCAGAAGTTTTTCAGAGTTTGAGGACGAACATCCCAGAGGAGCTCCGGGCTTTTTAAGAGACGGCGCGCCGAACGGAGATCAGAAATCATTACAATAATAGTCAAACGGAATGGCTCAAATGTTTAAAGTGATTTAAGAGTTCAGATAGAGTAGTACTGTGGAGAAACCAGAAACTGGCATAAATTATAGAACATAGCTTTTAAAGAGCCCTGCAAAGTATTTAAATCCCTTGAAATCCGTCACATTTTGTCACATTACAGCTTCAGTGAGTTTTACTGGGAGTTTAAGTGATGGCCTGACACAAAGTAGAGTGTAATTATGAAGAGAATTTGTTTATTGTTATACAAATGGAAATTCTGGCAAGCATTTGTACTCGGCCTCCATGTGTCAATAATCTCTGCAGCCGCTTTGTGCTGGAAGACGTTTTTGGTGAATTTTGGTGATTTTTGCTCTGCACAGCAAAAGAGCAAACAAGCTCAAGTGAGGTTAGATTGGATGGACATTATCTGAGAACGTCCGTTTAAGACTCCAGGTTAGATATGTCTGGACTTTGACTTGGCTGTTTCCAGCGCTGGATGTACTTTGAGTTAACTCGCTCCATTGCTGCTCTGAATGTTTAGGGTCGTTGTTTCCCAAAGCAAAAACGCTTTAAAAAAAAAAAAATGAAACAAAAAATAAAAGTTTTCTTTTGTTTTGTTTTTTTAAAGATCTGCTTTTTAACGTTTTTGCTACGTCCCTCCATCATGGCTAGTGGTAAATTGCAAATGAGTTTCCTATTACTTTCCTTCCTTCTCTCTCCTTCATGAAGTCCAGATTTGTGAAACGTATCAACAGACAAGTCGCACATCTGTAGTCTCACCTGAGCCGGAGACCCCTGCACCTCCTCCAGAGTCACCATGGGCCTCTTGGCTGCTTTTATACTTAACGCTCCTCCTACTCCTGGTTTAAACCTCCACCCACCTTTGTCACAGGGCTACAAAAGAGGATTAAAAACATAAAAATGTAATTAAATTCAGACTTTTTTTTCTTCTTCTCAGAATTCTGACTTTTAACTAAAGAGTTCTGATACTATTTATGTCCAAATCCAAATAAATACCCAAACATGCATAGCATGTTAATTATGTTTTTGGGAAATAATCACATAACTGTTTCTTCCTTGTTAAAGGATTTGTAAACCTGCACTTCATCCGCACTGAAAGCTCATCCAGAATGTATGTGGCAAATTTGAGTTCCAAGTTGCATAAACAATTTAAACAATTCTGACTTTGAGGAAAAAAGTCAGAATTTTTTTTTTCTTTCCTCAGTGGCACTAATCTTCTTCCGTACAGAGCAGCTGGATGATGGTGCTGAACTGGATGTGGTTCAGAGGTGTCAAACTCAAACACATGCCACACCTTTTAGTTTCTTCATTCGTTATAAATGTTGAAAACCATCTTTTCATTTTTCAATCTGTCGCATAAAATCCCAGTAAAATTTACCAGTCAGTTTGTGGTCAGAGTGTTAAAAACTTACAGGCGTCTGAATGTAAACAATCCAATTAGGAAAACAAAATGAAACAATCTTGGAGGTTTTTATTTTACTGAAATATAGATTATTGCTTTAACAAATGAAAAACTCCTGTTTTCAGGAACTGTTTGTTCAGGTCAAATGAAATTTACTACACGTTTCAGCAACAGATACCAATTATGAAACAAGTAGCAAACAATACAATTTGAAAAATGACATCAGAATTATGAAGCAAATATTCATCAGATACATTGATCATTGATCCAGTTATTGTGAATCAAACGCTGACCAGCCGGGTTTTTAGCTTCTAGTTTAAAGAAACTTAAAAGTTTTGCAGTTTTCTGGAAGTTTGTTCCAGATTTGTGATGCGTAGAAGCTGAATGCTGCTTCTCCGTGTTTCGTTCTGGTTCTCTGTGTTATGTGTGAACATTACGCTCAAAGGAAAACTCCCATGATGCTTGGAGTCTGCATGCATCTCTGTGCACCATAATGTATCGAGGATGCAAGCTTTCTCGCTTTAAGACACAATTAACACGTTTTTTATGCATCCATGCCACACACCGGGCCTGTGAAGCTGTGAAAAACCAACATCTGATGATCTCGCAGCGAAAAGACGAAGAGGGTCAGAACCTGCGCCGACTGGAGCGTTTTTCTTTTTATTATCAATAAATTACACTAATAGCTCCACATCTCACTCCATTTATCACAAAGCTGTTATTGTCTTAAACTTTAATTCTGTTTTTTTTATTGAATATCTCTTTGCAGTTGTTACAAATTAAAGAAATATATTAGGTCTTGTATACCATAAAACGCTTAGAACAGCAATCAACAGGGTAGAGGCAGCTTAGCCGGGTTTTATTGTCTAGACTCTTGGTGATCAAACTCAAGGTCATTCTGGTGGACGTCAGCACAAACCTGCAGGGCTGCAGCTAACGATTAAACTAAACTAATGACAAACATCAGCACATTATGCAGAGTTTTCATTTAACCACTGGTGCTTCTTTTGTGCAATATAAGAAATGCATTTAAAAATATTTAGATAATTCCTTTTTTAAATAAGAAAATGAAAAACTTTTAGCCTAAAATGCAACAACTTAGCATTTATTCATTAAACACCTTATTATTTGTAGCTAAAATATTCTTCAAGTATCTGAAAAGTTAGTTGACTTTATGTCAATACAATAAGTATAATCTGCAGATAATTTTTTTTTAGATTAACTAATTAATAACTGGACGGCAAACAGTGACTAATAGATTTGTTTGTCCGGACTTTTGAACCAGCTGAAGCTAAAACTCCCACTTTGTGCCTGGGTAGATCACAGAAGTTTTCTTTTAATCTTAAATGCAAAATTCATGTATTTCTTTGTACAAGTTTGGCTTAATTAATGCTCCAAATATGTTATTTTACTGACCACTGACCTTTTTCTGAGTCTGCATACTTCAATTAATCATTGACTAAATTAGTTGACGATTATTCCATTAGTCGATTCGTCACGATTAAGCTGATTAATTTGTTTCATTTTGTAACAATTTCATGTCCAGAAATCCTGTTTTCTGCAGGAACAACGTTTACAGTCCACCAACAGCACCTATCAGAAATGAAAAACATTTATTTGGAGACTTCAAGCTTCATGTTTGTTGAAAAATCTACTTCAAGAACAAAAAATACTTTATTAATATACACACTCTAATATATGTACCTACATTAAAAATCACAAATAGCAGCCTATTTTTTCCATTTGTTTCATTATTTTGGTTAAAGTGAATACTTTCTAAATTTTTATTACTGCCTCATAAACATGATTACTCCCCTCCTCTGCAGCCACAGCAGCTCTGTATAATTCATTTTCCCCCCGCAGAAACAAGGTGCTGTTTACCTATATTAGCATCGCCTCGAGACGAAATGTTATTCCTCGAATGATTTACTGCGATTGTCGCACCGACCAATCGCTCCTGCAACACAAGCAGACCTGTGATATACTGCGAGAGCCGTGATGGAGAGCGAACAATGCTCCAAACTTCATCATGAAATCTGCGCAGGGGCAGCAGCTGCATGCATTAGCGTAATGCCAGCTTTGTTCTGAGCCCCAAACGGAGCCAGACAGCGTCCTCATGAACATTCAGTGCCAGCTCTCAAACCGCTCCATTCATTGTGACCTCCTCCTCCTCCATGCCACCCCCCCCCCTCCTCCGCTGCAGGTGCGTGGTCGTTCTCTGTGTCGGAGCTGGCTGCACCTGGTGTGGAGGTGGGCCGTCTCACTGCCACCGACCCTGACCTGGGAGAAAATGCACAGCTGGAGTTTACCATCCTGGACGCGGAGGGTGCGGACATTTTCAACGTCACCAGCAGAGCCAGGGAGGCCGTCATCGTGCTGAACAAGGTGAGCGGCGATGCGGACGCATGCACGCTGAATGCGCGAGAAGCAGCTGAGGTTTATCACGGGAAAACGGGCACCAAGAGCTTTTATGGTGCCCTGGAAGGGTCATTCATACCCCACTGACCTCTCCACAGTTTGTGAAGCTGTAACCACAGAGCTTTGGGTGTTTTATTGTGGTATTTTGTTGTAGACCAACACAAACTAGAGCAAAAATATGGAGAAAATTATGCATGCAAAGCAGAAATGTGTGGCACACATTTTATTAAGTCCCCAAACTTAGTAGCTTTTCAGCAAGATAAGCTAAAATGTTAGAAAATAAAACCAAGTAAATGATTCCTTATTATAGATTTTTTAAAAGTACTAGTTCAACTGGAAAATTATTTGACTTATAAACCTTTTTCCATGTCTTAAGTCAAATAATTTACCAATATTAAGAAATTATTAGCTTAAAACAAGTCTTAAAAGCGCCGAGAATATCTGCAACAGAAACTAGAGCAAAAATTCTTAGTAAAGTTTTGTATTTCTGCGGTGAGCAAATGAAAATAGTATGGCAGACATGGCAGTCCACAGGCAAGAGGCCCCATGGTGACTCTGGAGGAGCTGCAGAGATGCACAGCTCAGAAGGGAATCTGTCAACAGGACAACTGTTAGTCATCCGCTCTGCAAATCTGGTCTTTATGAAACAATGGACGCAAAAGACAAATTTCTTTTACAGACATCTGAAGATGATGAGTCCAATTATGAGCCTCCAAGCAAAATGTCGTGTTCAATAGAAAAGACTCCAACCAGACTGTAAAAATGACAGAGGCTCTTGCTTTACAGTGCTATCTAAGTAGCCAGCTAGTTTTCACTTGTAACATGGGAAAAATGTCTTGTGAAATAATCTGACAATGGAGTTAGTACCTTTTAATCAACATCAGGGAATTATTTAGTTGAAACAAGCTTCTACATATTGTTGAAAAGTCACATGTTGGTTAGTTTTGCTTTATTTCAAGTGTACGAAGATATTTGCACTGAAGACAAGGCCAAAATTACTTAACAAGGTTTTGTGTAGCTGTTGCGTACATCATGGGTAAGTGTAACTTTATCGCCAAGTTAGCTGGGCGATGTTCGTCTTAACCATTTTCTCCTTTCTGTTGCCAGCCCATACAATTCATTTATTTGCTTTTTTTGTGTGTGTGTATTTCTGTTGTTTCACAGGTCTTAAACTCTGTAATGATCTTTAAAATGTCTTAAAATTCTTATATTCTTTGTGGCAAGACTTTAAAATCGAGGTTGAAGCGTGAGCTCATTCACAAAGAAGAAATGTCCTGAATTTCTCTCTGTAGATGTGTGAGGCTGATGGAGACATACACCAAAAAGCTCGCAAATGTAGCGGTAGTGAAAGATGGTTCAATAAAGTGTTGACCCAGAGGAGTTTTGTACATATTTCTAAAGCATGTAATATTTTCTTTACCCACCACTTTGTGTTGGTTTACACACAAAATCCCAATAAGATGCACGAATGTTTGTAGTTGTAAAGGATGAAGCTGGAAAAAGCTGAAGGGGTTTGAATAGTTTTTTAAACCATTGCATCAGCAACACTTTAAACATCTTCTGCTGATAGTGTCAGCCCACAGGTGTCCTGAAGGAAGTGATGAGGATGAACTGGACATCAGCTGGTCAGAGTCTCACTCATTGAAAGTGAGGCCTTGTTAAAAGAACAGGATTTCGACTTTTAGGGCTTTTGACAACATTCTGTGAGATTATCGAAGAAAGATTGAAGGACAAGATGAGGCTCGTCATTAATTAGACAGGGAAAAAAAAAATCACCCGAGCCGCATAAGAAAAGAATGAATGGAGGAAAATACCGTAAGTGAATGATGAAGTCTTCGGCTGGATCAGAACCAGAGCAAAAAATAACTCGCCGTCTCATTTTTTCTTCTTTTTTTTTTTCTTTTTTTTTACAGCTTCTGGATTACGAAATGTGCAATTCGTATACGTTTTCCGTGGAAGTGGCGAACCCGGTCGTTGACCCCCGGTTCATACGGAAAGGGCCCTTCAAGGACCAGGCGACGGTCCGGGTGATGATCCTCAACGCCGACGAGCCGCCGCGGTTCTCCCAGGCCGTCTACCACCTGGACGTGTCCGAGAACTGCCCCCCCGTCTGCGCCGTCGGCCGCGTCCACGCCGTAGACCCGGACACGGGACAGAGCAGCAACATCAGGTGGCCGACTCACCGTCGCTCACACACACACACACACGCACACACGCACACACCACTCACACACTCATTAGCCTGCGATTCCTGACTGTTCCTCGTCCCGTATCCTAGGTACTCCATCGATCCGCAGTCGGACCCCGAGGCTTTGTTCCGCATCGCCTCCGACAAGGGCTTCATCAGCGCCGTGGTAGAGTTGGACCGTGAGCAGGAGCAGTGGCATAACATCTCAGTCATCGCCACACAGAGGGGTATGACAGACCGTACCGCCGCGGGGCACCTGGAGCGCCGCGGCGACACCGACTCGTATTTCACCCAGTGGAGAGCAAACGGTGGATTTTTCTGTAATAACTTGAACATTAGCGTTCATTTCCCCCCCCCTTCTCTTGTCTCCCTTCCAGACAACCCAAATCTTGTGTCGAGGGCTGTGGTTGCCATAGAGACACTGGACCAGAATGACAATGCGCCAGAGTTGGACAGGCAGTACGCGACATCAGTATGTGACTCCAGCGCCCCGGGTCAGGTCTGTTCCTGTTCAGCCCTAGCCTGATAATACACTGCTCTTCATTTTACCCACTCAGTCTCTACAGCCACTGTACTTCCTAACATTTTGGGGGGTTTTAACTACACAATTAAAGCCTCCGCAACGTTGACTCCCTGCTTGGCTTTATAAATGATATTAATAACAAGAGCTAAACATTTATCTAGCGCTGCAGTTTCCGAAACTGAACTAACTCGAGTGCAACATGCAGCCACTGCTGGACTCTGCTGATGCAATTAGGTACTTTAAAGCAGAGGCAGAAATGTTGGGTTTGCATCAGCAGTGCTGAAGAAAAAACTGTCTGTGGGGATGAGAAAGGGGGATTGTCAGCTCCTGGAACGGCTTTTTCTGCGAAGAAGTCAATGCGTGAGCAATCAAACAATGTGATTATGGGATCGTTTCACAGTTTGTCCACATTGCTTTGTTTTTTTGGTTTTCATTTTCTCACTTTGATGGATTTTTATTGTTATTTAGTGTGACAGACCAACACCAAGAGCTGCATATTTGTGGAGTGAAACAGAAACGAAGCAGATGTGGGTCCAAACATAGACTAAGAGTAGCTTTACTTCAATAGTTTTACTGATTCGTTATCCGTTCCGTTTGTAGTCGAAGCTCAAACATTTTGACTTTCCAGTCAGAAAAGTCAGCTGGAGCGCTCAAGGAAGTCAGACTTCCCACTCAGAACAGTGGGAGGAACTCCGGCTAGTCCCAGTTATAATGTGCAAGACTTGTCGTTTCAATTTGGCGGATCCTCAAATCAACAGCAGTAAGGTGTGTTGGAAACATTCTCCAGTCTGACTGAGCTACTTGGAGAAGAAGAACGTCTGTGTGAAGTTGGATGAGACAAACTCTTCTCCTGTAACTGCAGCAGAATTTGGTGCCGCAAAGTGTTGAGCTGGAGATGAATAAAAGCACATTAAAGGAAGCACACCTTTAACAGATTATGAGTTTGTCTGGGCTACACAAAACATGTTTGTTACATTTTTTTTGCTACATTTTTTTTTTTTTTTGCAGAAAACCAGTCTTAGATAATGAGAATCAGTTCTGCCTGTTCCTTTCTGAATGATCTTTTGAAAACAAAAGTGCAGTTATACAGCTGTACATCTCTGAAAAGCAGTGCACAAACAACAACAATGCAGCAAGTGGTTTCTAAATGATAAGCCAACAACAAAACACTAGTCTACTCTAGCAGCCATTGTACACAATGCATACAGCGGTAAACTCACACTGGAAAAAAGAAAATGGAGGTTCAGCTTTAAAAAATGTAATTCATTTGTGACATGTAATCAAACCAAACATGCTGGAGCTCGTTGCTCTAAGTAACGAGGTTGGGCTCCCCTGGGGTTGCTAGGTGATGGCAGTGCCTGCCTATTGGTGTTTCAAACATCCAGACACCAAGAAAAATGAACTTACTTTTTAAGTTCTTGGGATGTTGCAGAAGCAGTAGAAACCCAAATGGAAGTACAAATATGTGCAAAATTTGAATTTTGCATCCTAGGTTCCCTTTATGCTTGTAACTTGTAACAAGACATGCAGAAGTTCAACTTTACTCCATATGAACATCAGATTACACTCTGCCGGCCTGTTAAACGACTCTTGGGGAATCCCCATCAGCTCTATTAAAACGATTCTCCGGCTCTTTGCTCCGCAGGTGGTCCAGGTCCTGCGAGCGGTCGACAGGGATCAGGGAGGACAGGACTCTCCGGTCCACTTCAGCATCCCTTCTGAGTCCAGCTCCGCTCTCAACCTCTCTATCAGAGAATCTGGAGGTCATCTCCCCCTCTTTCCCCTACAGCCGCTATTTCACATTTCACGCAGAAATTCGACGCCCGTCGATTAGTGACAAGAGAGCGCTTTGTGCTTTGCTGTGCAGTGACATGCTTGATGTGTTGTCACATCATCAGGTGTGACAGCCAGCCTGGTGCTGCAGTCGGCCTTGGAGCCGCTCCCTGGCTTCTCATCCTCTCCACTCGCCCTCGACGTGCCTGTGGTGCTGCGTGACGGGGCCTCGGGGCTGACCAACACTGGCACCGTCACCGTCACCATTTGCCCGTGTCTGCAAGGCGGCATGCAGACGGAGAACCGGGGCAGGCAGCGGGACCCGCGGTGGGAGAGGCACGTGGTCTGCCTGCCCGCGCCGTCCGCCTCGCCGTCGCTCATCTTCAGCTTGGTCACGCTGCTCGCCATGCTGGCCTGTGTCACCACCCTGCTGGGTGAGTTCTGGGGTTGGGGAGGATTTTGTGTGACATTTCTGGGAAACAGAAAACTTCCCAAGTATGTTTTTTTTTGTTTTTTTTTTTCTTTTTTGAGCGACTTGTATTTGGAAAAGACGCTGAGTGGTTGTGTCAGGCTTGCTTCTGGAACATCAGTGGAGTATGTGGGCATGTGTCTGTTCTTTGCCCTTTAGTGGTGTGTGCTCTCTCGCTGTCATTGCGCCATCAGAAGCGAGACTCCCACTCACCCTTTGAGGAGGATGATGTCAGGGAAAACATCATATCCTACGACGACGAGGGGGGAGGGGAAGCGGACACGGCCGCCTTTGACATCGCGGCGCTGCAGAGCATGCACAGGATCCAGCACATGCACAACAGCGGGAACATGTGAGTCGCTCGCTCGCGCGCCGCCGTTGCTCTCGGCTGTTTGCGTGTTCAGTTGTTTTTCGATCGCTGTGATCTGTCTCTCTCTCTCTCTCTCTCTCCCTCCTTCGGCACGCAGATGGTACACCCAGCAGAATCCGCCCAGAGCCAGGACGTACAGCTGGAGCCGTCACCCACGCCCGGTTCTGGGCCCCCAGCAGCGGCCGGGCTCGGCCCCGCTCTACGGGCGCCTCTGCTACGGCGTCCACACGCTGCCCGTTCTCAGAGACTACCCGCTCGGGCCGCTGGAGGCGGGCCTCCAGCTAGGCAGCGTGACCCAGGGCCTCGCGGCGGGTCACGGCGCCAATCGTCTCCTCGTCCCCGGCCGGAGCACCTTTGAGCCTCTGCTGCGCTCGCCCGAGACAAGCCGCCGCGGCTTCGAAGCGGAGCATATGCTGGCAAAGAGCGCGGGCGCAGACGGGAACCAGAGCAGTGGGGCGAACGTGGCTGGCGCCAAAGGGAAGGAGGAGCAGGCCAAGGTCAGAAAACTCTGCGGAGCAAAACACTTACTCACAGCTCGCTGTTTATGTTTTGGGGTTTTTTTTGTTTGTTTTTTGTCTTTGAACAAGTTCCAACATTATTAGGCCTGTGAGAGAGAAAAAGCGAGTAAAGTAAACTTATAGAAAAGTCACTGAAAGGTCAGCTTACCTTACAGTGTCAAACATTTAAAGGGATAGTTCAGGATTTTTCAAGTGAGGTCATAAGCAGAGTTATAATAATTCTGGGTTTTTCATTATAATTTAGTTTTATTTGGTTGTGACTTTTTCTTTGTCTAACTCACTTTCAATTAGTTTTTAGAGTGTGTTTGCTAGTTTTTATTAGTTATTGTGTAGTTTTAGTTTAGCTTACATAGTAAATTCAAGTTTTGGTCCAGAAATCAAAACGGTCAAAGTATTGTGGTTATATATACATCAGTTGGGTTACGAATAATCAACAGAAGATGCCAGTTTCAAAAAAATGTATTCAATTATTGTTGAACCACAAGCTGACTCTGGAATTCAAGCCCAACTTTTGCTGTCGCCATTTTGTGGACCACCACAGGAGGAGTATGGAGTGCCGTAATTTGCCGACAGCCTCTTGTATTGAGAGAAAAAAAAATCAATTCCTCATCAGTTTAAAAGGCTAATAAATAGATTCATAAACAAGAAAATGAAGGATATCATGTCTATAATCTCAGTATGTTTTAGATAAATGTACAGTATAGTTCCAGTTAGTTTAAATTTCTCCACATTAATTTCAGTTAAAATGTTTTCTCAATTTAAGTTTTTGTTATTTTAGTTTTAGCTAACTATAATGACCTTGGTTAGAAGCAGCTAATACCCTACCTGCAGGAGATAACCGTTTTATCACCTTAATGTAGTTTAGATCTAGATTAGTTGCAGAGGTCAGAGAAGAGACTAAACAAAATTGAACTTCCACCATCATACAACTATATTCTAAAAAAAATCATAGCAGTTTATGCCAACTCAGTTTTATGAACTTTGAAACATTAGCGGGTTATTTGCGACAGAAAGAAAAGGTCAGAGGTGGTGTGCCAATAATAACGTTCCTGTTCTAAACATGTACTCAACGAAACATATAAAATGTTTCTTATCCAAGTGTAATAGAAAAACAAGGGAGTGTAAAAGTCAATAAAAACCTTCACACATTGTTCTCAGAAGTGTTGCACACTCCTATAATGCTCCTATAATGAGCTCCTATAATGAGCTCAGCAGATGCACAGTTGTTAAAAAAACTGCGATATATAAATATGACTTAAGAGGAATTTGACTTCAAAATTTAATGCCTTGAAATTGGGCCTATGATATTTCTGAAACTCCACCTTTAACAACATTTTTAGGAGAGTTGCATGGAGAAGTAGCTCCTGTAATGAGCCCAGCAGATATCAGTTCCACCAGGTGTTTGCTAGTTGCTGCTGGCTAGTCTGAAGGAGCTGAGCGGAGGGCTAATGGGGGTGGGCTGCTCTTTGAGGTAGAAGCTCAGACGCTCGGAAACCCAGAATGGTTGCCACGGGAGATTAAAGTATTTCTGAAACGTGGACGAGAGAATCAAGGCAACACAGCAGGAATGTTTTTGATAAGGAAATGACATTATAACATGACGTCAAGTTGAAAAAAAGTCGATTTCACCCAACATCACCTCTTTAATAACCTTCATTCAAATGTTTTACTAAGTAAGTTTATCACTCAGATTGATTACCGATGACACTCCGGCTCCCACCGCCATTCCATTCCCCACATAAATAAAAATTAGCTTCCCTGTAAATAACCATAAACTGCAACAACCTTCTTGACACTCAAGTTATTTTATGACAGCGAAAGTCTGTCCACCCTCTGGGACAAACTAATCTGGATTTATACTGAGTGAAAAGTTAATCTGATTCAGCTCCAACATTTCGTGCTTTCACACAACCTGCCTTAAACTCGTGAGCTGCATCTGTTTAAAATGCAACACTTTATCATCAAATCAATACACATCTTTTATGTCAGGTTTATAGTGTGGCCCACAGTTATTGGCAAAGATAACTGCGGCTTTAAATAATTGTATTTTACTGCAATGAATATATATCTACATATAAATCTTATATGCATGTATTCAGTAGAGTAGAAAAATTAATTTTAAGAACGTCTTCAATTTTAGTGTTACACTGTTGATTTATGAAATGTCGTTCGAGCTTTTTTTTAATGCTTTACGTTTTAGTTTGATTAGTTTCTATGGTCTTCTAACTAGAAACCCATATTTATATATATACACAGTGAGGATATGAGTGGTAGAAACATACAAAGCCAAGTTGCCATAACAACCACTGCATGCCATATACATGCCAGCTGGTTGTTTGAGAGGCATGGCGGAAAAAAAACCTGGCATAAACATAAACATGTAGAGTTTACTAAGGATTACGATGCTGTGATTTGGTCGCATGAAGGTTGGGTCAAAACTGACTTTCTGGTCCATATCAGAACCACTTAAATACAGATGGATGCATATCTGCTGTTGTTTGTAGAGACCTATGTTTTTTGGTCTTTAGCGATTAGTCTGGGGACGCACTTCCGATACCGATATCTGAGGTTTGGTATCGGCTGATACCGATCCGATGCAGAACAACAATTCTGAGTTGACTTAAAACGATATTTTTTTTTTAAAACACAGATGTAAATGCACTTAATTAGAAATGTATTAGATAACTCTGCACCAGTACAGCACACTTAAATACACCAAAAGCGTCACAAGTTTGGTCAAACATGTAAAAACAAATTTAATTTGTTCAGTCAGAGCAGGGGTGTCCAAAGTCGGTCCTGGAGGCCCGGCATCCTGCATGTTTTAGTTCTCTCCCTAGTGGTAGTAACAACCTCCTCAGCAAGTCAATGTTCTCCTTAGGCCTCTAATGACCCATCATTTGATGCAGGTGTGCTAAACCAGGGAGAGAATAAAACATGCAGGATGCTGGCCCTCCAGGACCGGCTTTGGACACCCCTGAGTCAGAGCAATTAAGAGTAGAAGAGCCAACGCAAAATAAATGATAAAGAAACTGAACCTGAAAAAAATAATAGGTTGACTACTTTGGTCAAACGTAAAAAAAAAAAATGCATTTGAATTTCACTTTCAAATGGTTTAGAAAGTGAAATCAGGAATTCTAAATATGTAGAATACATAATAATATATCATGACGTCATTCAGAGCACATAGAATTACACTGAATAGATCTGACACATTGTCACCAATACCCAATCTAGAATTTTTTTTTCAATATCAGAGCCGATACAGATATTAATATTGGATCGTGTATCACTAACTTAGTCCGAATTTGATGTTATTGAAGTATAAACTTAGGCCAGATCAAATGTAAACAGTGAATGAAACATTGATGGAGCTGGTCGTAAGATTTCAGGATCCCAAGGGAAAAAAAAATCTGAATTAATAAATAAGTATTTAATTTTTTTAAGTTCTGTAATGTTTTGGGCCTGTTTGTTTGTTTTGTTCCTCTCTCTCCAAACTCCCTGGGAGTCTTGTTGCGGTGCACGGCATCAGAGATTCTTTGGGACTACTTAGATAAAAATATGGGCGACTCTGTCAGCGAATGAAAATAGGTTATCACTGGGTCCATCAACAGAAAAGCGACCCGAGAGATTATGGCCCAAATCAATACCAAAATGGTTCACCAAAGGCAAAGCCCACTTTCTTTCATGGCCACCTTCAGACCTAAATCATTTGGAAAACCAGAGGGGTGAGATGAAGAATAAAAAATAATAAGATTGGAGTCTGAACTCTGGTCGATTTAGAGAAGCAAAGGTTCAGATAAAGGCTCACGTTGGGAAATAGTTTAGGGGGAAGTCGAAGAGCCGTCCTGTTGGCGAAAGAGGCATGGACAAAGTATGGGTTCAAATAAATACTCCAGGAATGCATTTTTCTTCCATTTGCAATAAATCACAAGATAAGACCACATTTATTTTAAGGCTTTTCTTTTACATCCTTAACAGGAGTTCCCATGAATGTAATGAGCGCCGCATAAAGACGGCTTTGGACTGATTAAAATTTATGAACCCCAGGCGTGGCGAAGCTTCACGTTAATGCAGGAGCCTGTCTTCTAGTCGTATTTGCATGTCGGCGCTGCCATAATCAATCATTTGCATATAGGAGCATTGTTTATTGCTTGATGTGGCAATAAAAACAACAGCCGGGGCAGAAGCACTTCACCAGCCGTTAAACTGAGGCTGTCGTTGGAGGAAGTGAGAAAATAAAGTAGGTTTTATTAGGTGGCCTCAGCTGTGAAATCACAGACAGACGAACGGAGGAAACAGGCTTGTGGCAGCAGTATATAAAAAAAAATCACAAGGTCTTCAATATCATCGTTCTTATATGTGTCTTCAACTATTTATAGTGCATTCCAAATAAAATCCACATAGATAAAAACAAAAAATAGAATAAATAACCTGATAAGACTTTTGCACCAACTCAATTACTTATGGTATAGTTTGTGCATACTGTAGTGTGTGTGTATTTATAATAAAAAAAAATGATACCCTTAATAAGAAATGCAGAGTCTGTGAAATTAGCTGTTTCATATTATGGTAAATTTTTGTCGCTACATATTTTTCATTTTAACTTTCGCGTCTCAAGCTTGAGTGCTCTAAAAAATGTGTGTGCATGATCGGGTGTGTGTATCAGACGGGCGACGTCGTCACAACACATTCGTCTCCGTCAAACAGAAAATGCCGGATTATGAGGTCGGTGCCCTGGGAAAGGTGAAATCGCACAGGAGGCATGAAAACAAAAATCCAAAAGTGAAGCGAAGAAAAAAGAACACCAAATGCCTCGGCTCGGCCAAAAAGATGTTGTCAGATCAAAAGATGAGGGGATCAAATTAGACGTGCATTCCAAAGTTTCTGACAGTCATCAAGTGTAACAGTTTATTGATAAAAAGGATTCTGAAGGCAGAAATGTGGGGCTCCTGTAATGCGTGTCCATGTGTACTACAGTTTAGATTCAAAGCCAGAGTCCAACCCAAAATTCAGATCGGGTCGGGCCAAAATTATGTGCTTGTTGATTGGCTCAGGCTGCTACACAGCCTTTTTGTTATTATAAAATCGACTTTTTTGAGCACTACATCTTGTTATAATGTTATTCCCTCATCAAAATCATACCTGGAATATTGCTTTATTTTTTTATTTTTTTTAATACACATTTTGACATCCTTTAATCTCCGTGGCAACCATTCAGCTGTGCAAAACGCCTGGTTGGACCTAGCCCCGCCTTCGGCAATGAAGCTCCTCCTCTGAGCTGCAGTTTCTGAGCTTCCGTCTCGCAGAGCAGCCCTCCCCCACAACTCCTCCTCTCGGCTCCTTCAGACTAGCTAGCAGCAATTAGCAAACATCTGGTGTAACTGAGCATCTGCTGAGCTCATTATAGGAGCTACTGCTTAGTGAAATGTTGGTAAAAACGAGTTTCAAAAAGAGCAGGAACTTCTTAAAGAGACAGAGGCCCAATTTTAAGGCGTTAAATTACAAAGTCAAATTTCATATATAACAGTTTCATTACAACTGAAGTTAACATAGTTACTTGAACCAACTTATCATAGTCTAAATAGAGGAGAAAGTAGTTTATCCTGCTGAGTAAAGAAAGCAACAAACAAAGAAAAAATTAAGAAGCTGAAGTTTATTAGACTGTAACAAGTGCAGCGCGGTGCACAGCACACACACGGCCCCGCCCTCCTCCGCTCTCGCCAATCACACAACCCAGAATATTTAACCTTTGACTCACCCTGCTGTTACAACAAGCAACAAAACAGAGCTGGAAGATGTTAAGCAAAATCTCGAAACAGGAGGAGTTACACTGCAAAGTCAGCAGAGTCTGGAAGTATTTTCAACTGGTAGCTGATGACAACAGGACATGAGTTGCCTTGGTAGAGTGCAGCAAATGTGTCACTTCGTCTTTGTCCTTTTGCATGGATTACTGCATCGGTGCAGCGTGTCATGGAGGAACACAGGCTGTGGTTCTGCTGAGGTGTAGGAGGCCCTTTAGTTTGTCTGCATTGTTGGGTCTGGTGTCTATCACCCTGTTCTTGACAGTGCTTCACATATCCTCTGTGGGGTTCAGGTCAGCTTATATTGCTGGCATGTCAACCCCAGTAATGTTCTCGTCATTAAAGTGTTGGGAAGTGTTGGCGGTTGCCAAATCCTGCTGGAAGATGAAATGAGCGTCTCTGAAAGCTTGACAGCAGAGGGAAGCAGCAGATCACAGGGCTCCACAGATCATTACTGACAACCCAGGTTCTTTGGTTCTGCACTCTTTCCTGACGTTCTGCGGCCTGGTGTCTAAATTCAATGTGGAATTCACTTTCCTCTGAAACTGGTCCACTTGTTTTTCTCCTTAGCCCAAGTGAAGCATCGTCTCTGGTTCAAAACTCAGCTGCTGCCTTTGTCCAGGATATTTCTCTCTGTGTGTGTGTGTGTGTGTGTGTGTGTGTGTGTGTGTGTGCGTGTGTGCGTGCGTGCGTGCGTGCGTGCGTGCGTGCGTGCGTGTGTGTGGTGACTCCAGCTGCACACTTTGTGAATCTCCCAAAAAAACTCTTCAAAGAGTTTTCCTTCACAATCCTGCACACATTTCTTTACCGTATGTTTTCTTTCCACTTAATTTCCATAAATTAGAGCTGAAGAGATTAATCGGATAAGTGATGATGAGTCGTGATTAATCGATTATTGGAATATAAAAAATTTCAATTCAAATTTGAAAACACTATCGATCCTACAGTGAAAATTAATTGTTGTGGCAACTCATCAATTCAGATCCTTCAAAGTTGTTGGAGGTGGAGATGGCTGTTGATAGGAAAATGTCTCCTGTAGCGGTCTGTGTTACAGTGAATTTGAAGAAGCCTCTGACTGAAGACAATCTGTTTTACTAAGACAGTCTCATGAAGAGGATGGTCAGGGTTGTCCAAAATATTCTTGACCTAATGTAAAAGTCTTTGAATCGTCATTTCCATCTCATGAGGTTGGAGATCACGACCTTCAACCTCTGGAGTAGTTCCTGGAACATAATGCTGAACTCTAAAATATTAATAACTTTTCCTTCATTTTTACAGTTAACTGCCTCAACAATCGATAGAATAATTGATTGCTAAAGTAATTGTTATCCACAGATCTAAAATAAACAAACTCTTGAAACCTAAGCCTCTGTGTTTGACAAAGCTGCATGTTTCAATACGGCCCCACAGCATGCTGCCGCCACCGCCATGCTTCTCTGTTGACACAGTCGTCTCAGGTTTGAAAGCCTCACATCGACTCCTTCAAACATCCTCCTGTTATTGCAGCCACGTAGCTTAAATCTTCACTTCCTGTGTATTTAACTTGCTGAATTGAGTCAGCCGGTTGACATTTTAGTTTATTGAGATGCGCTGACGTAATCTTGGCTACCTCTGACTCGTCTCATCGCCGCCTTTCTTTTCCTTCTCCAGACAAACCCGACAGGCCCAGAGTCGACAGCAGCCAACGTCCCAGCAGAGCTGACCTACGAGTCGTCGTGCCAGAGTCGCGCCAGCTTCTCGTCGAACCAGCAGGATGGCCGGCCGGGGTCGTCCCAGACCCAGGTCAGCACCGGCGCCACCAGCACCACGGCGGACGACATCGACACCGACTCCTCCATCCCCTCCATGTCGGAGCAGAACTACTCCACCAGCAGCCAGATGAGCAGCGTGAACTCCCCCGCCTACGTCAAGGCAGACACATACAGCATAGTGGGCTCGCTGAACCCGGGCGGGATGGGGGTGTGCATCAACGGGACCGGCGCCGGCAGCGGGTTGCAGCTGCTCAACATGGCAACGCTGAAGGCCAGAGACGCGCCCCCGCAGACTTTAACCGCACCGGCGGGGTCGCTCGGCAACGGCAAAGCCCCGGCGTCCGAAGCCCCGAACCCTCAGCCGCTCCGGATGGAAGAACTCCTCAACATCCGTTTGGACCGTGTCACCTCGGACCTGTCGCAGCCGCCCTACGACTCACTGCAGACTTACGAGTTCGAGGGCCGCGACTCCAGGGCCGAGTCGCTGAGCTCGCTGGAGAGCGACGGCGACAAGGAGGGCGAGCGAGCAGCGGGGGGAGGTATGGACGAGCTCAACCAGAAGTTCCAGAGGCTGGTGGAGATCATCCGCGAGAGGCAGAAGGAGAAGAAGAAGACGACGACGACGCAGAGCGGTGAGGCGGCGGAGACTGCAGAGACTCAGAGACAGAGTGAGAACACAGATAAACAGCAGCAGAGATGGGATTTCTAGATCCTCTGTACCAGACGAGCGTGAGAAGAGGAAAATCTTTGATAACGACGGAGCTTAAACACACACACACACGAAAAAAAAAAATTCCTCCGACACAAATGAGCTTTCATTTTCTCCCTGACGTCAAGAATCAAGGCAACCTGGTGGCAAAGATCTGTGATCAGTGTGTCGCTTTCTCCTTCACCGGGTTTAGAAACACGAACCCAGCACTTTTCACTCTAATCATTAATAATGCAGACAGGGCTTTAAAAGTTAAAGATATAAATTATGTTTATATATATATATATATATATATATATATATATATACTTCAGTGGATATTTCAGTCAGTATGTGATGTTTTTGGCTCTTCAGGGATCCACTAGGATGTAAACTGGAGAAGCCACATGAGTAAAATGATCAAAAATATTCATATCACTTAAATCTTCCTAACTTACAACAGGGCTGGATAATAAATCCATAGCAATATCACGGTAGACACCTGATCAATATCAATAGATAATACATCTGATATTTTATACATTCAATATATAGGATATTCACTGAAGCCCAATCAAAAACCACAGAGGAAAGGCTTTAGCCAGCCAACCTCTCACAGCAAGCGAAGGCTGGTGGAATCAACTGACTCACTCCCTCTTTGGTTACCTAGCAACAAGATATTTGAAAGAAAAAACTTAGTCAATAATTATCAATGTTGACAATTATCGATATCGGCTGATGTGAAAGGCTTATATTGTGATACGTCTTTCAGCCGTATCGTCCAGCCCGTTCTTACGGCAACTAACTTTGGTGTGTTTTATTGAGATTTTGCGTGATAGCTAGACTCAAAGCAGTGCAGAATTGTGAAGTGGAAGGAAACCAAAACAACAAATAAAATGGCTACCGATGGGGGTGATGTGATCTGGTAAGACCATCCACTTTGGCTTAAAATGCTTATGTAGTAGGAAAGAGACACTGCAAATCACCCTGAACGCACCGACAGTCAGGGTCAGAGTTCATAGACAGATACAGAAGCTGCAAAATAGTTGAGATTGGAGGTTATAGAGGTTCACCTTCCCTAAATATGCAGCTATAGGCACAGTGGAATAGTTTAGGTTGAAGCATGCTCTTTTGCCATAATGGCTCAGTCAAAGTCTAAACCTTAATCCAAGAATCTGTGACAAGAAAATTGCTGTGTAAAGACCCAGTATTTCAGCGGTTTTGAAAAGAACAGGAGAAAACATCTCTAGCTGTGCAAAGCTGGTAGATTTATGACACTAAACTGTATTATTTGCAAAGAAATGTGAAAAATAAGTTATAGTTTCCTTTCTCTTTACAAGTATGTGCTGAAAAAGAATCACACTGAAGTTTGTGGTTGTAAGGTGTCAAAATGTAGAAAAGTTTAAGGGATGGATACTTTTGTAAATCACTGCAAATCCTCTCCAGCTGAGTCAGACATCATACATTAACTATGTTAAAAAATAATAATTTTCCAAACAAACCTGTTCACTTTGAACGTCAACAATCAGTAGACCGAGTCTATCAGTGATGCTTTTGTTCTTGCTAGAGAAAAAAAAAAAGGTAATTAGCATTCATATATAGATAAACATGAAGCTCAGCTGTGGTTGTTCTTGACCAGAAAGGGTTTTTTACTGGACACAAGAAGCAGTAACGAAGCGCTCGATTAGTAGCTAGCGAAACATCGAGAACCTGCACTGAATGATGTTCACCCACACAAGAATTATTTATATTCCTCCCTATTGTGTGTCTGGAAGCTTCCTCACCTTCTTGTAAAGAGATTTATGCAACACGGAACAGAGACATTGTTCTTGTGACGGCCCCAAGACGCAGAAAGAAGAAAAAATCTTCATTTGCTCAGAGAATACTTAGATGTTATTCACGCCTTTGACAGCGAGTCATTTTTAAAGCAATTTTAAAAATGCATTCATTATTTAGAAATGTGCTGGAATAAGTTATTAAAAATAATGACATTATTTTTCAATAATATGATAAAAAATGAATTTGGCTCCCCGCAATTGTTCCCACTCTTCATCCACTGTGGGAATTCAGCTCTTAATCATCTGTCGGTCTAATAGGATTGGAAAGCTTTCAGACTCATTTTGAAGGCACTTTTTTCATGTTTTTGCATCCTTACGTTGTTTTTTGTTTGTTTTTTTGTTTGTTTTTTTTAAGGAGAATGCAGAGACAAGGATGAGGGCCAAATGATGACACAGTGATCGCTATGCAGCTCATTGTCAGACTGCGTGGGCATCTAGACATAATGCTGCGGATTGAGGATGGAAATATGGCTGGAAATGACTAGCCGAGCTCACGACGGAAACCCATTTAATATCAAACTGGACTGCTGTTGATCTTAACCATTCACATAAATCACCTCAGCAATCATCAGTAGAGAATGAAGTGCCACAAAATAGAACCACGGAATTTCAAATGTATTTTAGAAAAACGTGTTATGTTTAAAAGGGAGAAAAGTCCTGGTTATCAAAGCAAGTCTTTGTCGGTTAAGTCGACATAGGTCGAGAGGACAATGCTGCCACCTACAGGTCAACATACAGAATACCTCGTTGTGTTAAAACTGTTAATCCTTCAGGCTGAAGGGACGCCATGATGGATTTAACCTAAATATTCCTGGCATACGCTGGAGAACCTGAGGAACAGGGCTAAAATATGGAGGTAGGAAGGCCTGAGGGCTCACAGTTTTTTTCTCATTGGAAAAAAAAAAAGTGTGTATAAATTTTTGTCACTTCAGCTCATAAAACATTTTGCTCTAACAAAACAGTTGTGGTTGTGATTTCTTGCGCAGCCTTCAGCCACATTAAGAAATGTGTTCAACGATAAAACGTGTCGTGAAAATAAAACCTGTTGGAAGGTTTAGTGGATAAATGCATTTATTCATGAGTTTATGCTACAGTTGGTTGTTTTTGGTGCTATCCGTTCCATTTCACCCAGAAGGAGGATTCTGGAATATGTTTAACTCAGCACATTTCGAAATAACATGATTATTGTTGCGCCAAGCTCCATGCAGATTGGGAACCAAAGTTTGTAGAAATGGGGTAGGGGGGGAGGGGGGATTTTGATGAGAACCATATTGAATCTTTTGAAGCCAAAAAATCACAAAACGAATCTTCTCTACATTAAAGAAACAACCAGATGTACTTTTACTTTTTCTAATAATTATGTCTAGTCAGTCAAATCACAGTTGATAAAGTTCAGATTTAATCTGCAGGATTTTTCAAAACGTCTGTGCCTTTGAAGTTCACAAGAAAAAAACTGCTAATTCAGTGTTCCATGTTTTTGGGACGATGACATCACAGGAGGCACAAGCAATTTTAGAAAGGTGTCAAAAATCGATTCTAAATGATTGGAGTTGCTAAGGAGTTGGACTCAAAACTTTGAAACTCTCCCTTGACAACAACAAAGGTCTTGCCCACCAAGGCACCTTCAAACCCCACCCCAATTGGAAAACTAATCATTAAACTAACAACCTAATTGAAATAATAACACCCTCAAAATATCTTACACCAGAAGATTCAGACAAAAACACAATTACTAAAAATGACCAAATTGTGACACACGCACTACTGCACCAACAAAAGTTAATAAAGTAATCGAAACACATGAATTGATCAATAGCAGTGAAGATTTGGATTTTATTCAAACCCAATGGCTAAAATGTCAATTTCAAATAAATATGGATGTTCTGATGGCATTTGTAAGTCCAGTGATCATTGTTTTATAATTGTCATTGTCACTGTTATGCCAGTCAATGTCCTCTTTGTCCTTTTAAGGTAACACTTTATTTGAAGGGGGTTGAATAAGACTGACATGACACTTTCATAAACATGACATAACACTTGTCATGAACATGAATAAGCCTTCATGAATATTTATGACTGTTGTCATAAAGCGTCATTCGGTAAATTATGACACTTTTAATACAAAGTTGACATTATTCAAAATGTCTTTGTTATGACAACTTGACATTAACCAGGAAATCATTACTGACATAAATTTGTTATAAAAGTATTATTGATTGCACTTTAAAAATGAGGTAACTTTATGTTATTAAAGGTAAAGTTTAAACAGAAATGATTTATTGTTTAATGTCAAGTTGTCATAACAAAGACATTTTGAATAATGTCAACTTTGTATTAAAAGTGTCATAATTTACCGAATGACGCTTTATGACAACAGTCATAAATATTCATGAAGGCTTATTCATGTTCATGACAGGTGTTATGTCATGTTTATGACAGTGTTATGTCAGTCTTATTCACCCCCCTTCAAATAAAGTGTTACCCCTTTTAAAAAGAAATATGAAAAATGGTCAAAAGAAACATCTGCGCCTGTCCCACCAAAGGTAGCAGAGGCTCAATACAGGCCACACTACTCACTCAGCCCCCAAAGCCGAAGCGATCACCGCTCATTCAGTCCCAGAGGTGAGTAGGTGTCCAGCCTGGCGATCCAGATTAAGACCGCTTTGGTTCTCTGGCCCAAAGTCCAGGTGGGATTTTGTTCCAGGACCATGACCCTGACTGAGGTCCAGCTGTGCTGAATAAAGTGGGAGTTCAGCAGGGCAAAAGGCTTCCTCAGGGAAACATCCCGTTCATGCAAAACCAGTCTAGCCAGCATTGTATTTGCCACCAGAAGGGGGCAGTGTAGTTAAAGACATATTTTAGGTTTTTCACTAACACTACTTGGACTCTTTCTGATGTAGTGCTTTACAAACGTGTTAATATCCCTTCAGCTTTTTCATTTTAAAAATATGAACTAAATAATTTAACTCTTTAACTAGTTAAATCAATTGACAACCACAAACATTTGTTTTGGACATGTGATTTTATGTGATATTAGTAATAACTAAAAGTTGGGAAGTGGAAGTAAAATTATGCTTTTTTTTATACCTTCCCCCAACCCCCAACACCCCCCCCCCAAAAAAAAAATCTGAAAAGTGTGGTGTACATTTGAACACAACCCCTGTAATACTTGAGTACCTCTAAATGTAATTCAGTGAAAGCATCTGCCTTCCACCTGTCCCCCTGTGTGTAATTGAATCAAAATAGTTGTCAGTCTCTAGAGGCCTAAAATGGATAAAGACGGACCCCAGAAGACCTGTGTATGGGAGCCAAGAGCGAATGTTATGGGCATATACTTTTTCCAAATGGTTTTCTCGATGTAAGTTGCAGCACACATTTGAAGGATGGAATCAGGTTTAACACAAACACCAACCAACTAGTGATCTCAAGAAAACAGGCTTTGTTATCTTGAGAAAACCATGGGGAAATTAACTTATTGAGAGAAAATCATGGAGGGGAAAAAGCATGTGCAGAAACATCCGCTCTAGACTTCCATATCTGTGACAGTAACTGCAGCCAAAGTTTGATTTACAAAGTGTTGACACAAGAATAAAGTATGTTTCATTGTGCACTGTCATATAAAAATACATTAAAGTTCGTGGCTGTAACATAAACAATGTGGAGATGTTTTGATCTGAAAACTGATGACGTGCACATTCAATGTAATTTCTTCCTCACCTAAAAAAACACAACCTCTTTATTCAGCTTCCTGTTTTAAATGGTTATTGCAGTTAGTTGTTTTCCTACACGGCAGAAACAAAATCTTAAATATTTTTGGTCTAGTTTCTCATGCAAATATTTTAATACACTTGAAATAAGACAAAAATAACTTACAAGTAACTTTACAGTAAGGTACAGAAGCCTGTTTAGAATCAATAATTTCTTATTATTGACAAACAAATATTAGTTTCACTGACAGATTATTACTTCTAATCTTTAGAAGTAAAAAAAAGATCTGCCATTTTTATCAATATTAAGCCAATAAATCCTTAAAACAAGATGCTATATTTTGCTGAAAAGTTACTTGTCAGATACTTTTATCTTATTTCAAGTACTAAAATATTTGCACTAGGAACTGCACAAAAAATATTCTGTAAGATTTACTCTTTTTGCTGTGAATAAAGGGCACATTTTTGTAATAATAAACGCTACGTTTGAGAGAAATATTTAATTAAAATTCAGACATCACACATGAGACAACATGTTTGAATAAAGAACAGGTAAAAAAAATGAAAGGGTGTTTTATCTGCCAGGTTTGGCAGAAACAAAAGTACATGCTTTGCAGAGAGCATCTGAGAACAAAAATAAAAGCATAAAGATCATCTCTGTAGTAAAATTACGATTTTACACATTATTAAAACATTACTGTTTCCAACATGGTTTTAAACAAAGCAGCTAAATATTATTTTCCCATTACATCTGTTTACATGGAAGACTTATGTCGCAAGATTTTTTTGATTTTTTTTTTACATTTGTGTATTTCGGTCACATTCTGAGAATGAAGTGTTGCAAATGCCTTCATTTCCAGCCATCCTCTTCATCTGCGCCTCTTCATCGTCGTCCTCCTCTTCTGCCACCTCGTTCTCCTTGCTGGAGTGGAGACCAAACAGGATCAGGCTCAAATTATCAGACTTAATTGCAACGATTGGCACCAATCCACAATCAGCAACATACCGTTTCTTTTGGACCACTGTGGACACGAGCAGAAAGACAATGCCGGCACCAATTATGCCTATCACCACGCCAAACACAATGAGCCACGAAGGGGTCGCAGGTTTAACGGGGGCCGCCAGGGTGGGCAGGACGCCAATGAACTCCAGAGTCGCATCATTGAGCAGGAGGATGTTGTTGATGCGGCTCCTCGACGCTCTATTGGACAAAGAAGAAAAGGAGTTTCAATTGATACTTTTCCGCACAGTGATGACATTGTGGACAGTTGTAGCAAACTGAAAAGGTCATAGGTCTCCTTTTGATGTAGATGAACGTCCAAGGCAAACACTGTGCTCCACTGAACAGAGCAGACGTGCTGTCCAAACAATTTTCAGGTTCTTAAAATTTCCACGCTCTCTTCTAAGTGGGATGTTCATTTATGTGGATTTATGAAATATTCTTGGAAGACAGAGGATATTGTTGGCCAATGGATGGAGTCACAATGTCACAATGGCCTCTGCGGTGGGGGTAGAGTTTGAGGTCTTGGGAAAAGACAAACTACAATAGTTTAAGACAAACATTTCACTCCAGAAGAGCAGTCTAGCTTACAGTCATGGAACAGTGGACCAGATCTTTGCTGTCAATGAATTGCTGAGGGGATCCTGGTTTGGTTGTTCAGGCCAGGTCTTTTTTGTGGATCTGAAGAAGACAACCAAAAAAATGTTCCTCAAGGTATTTTGCGAAGGATTACTGTATGAGGGTACCTAGGTTGCTTTTAAAGAATGCCCTGTCCTTAGACCCTGGGCTAAAGATGTTCCTGTATTCTCAGTACAAAGTCGAGCTTGTTACCAGTGCAGCTTTGTCCCTGCCTGAGATGCTGATTCTCAGCAATCGTGTTTGTGGTGTTTATGGAAAGGAGCTCAAGTTGCCATTGTTGAGAAAAGAGTGTCTGGTTTGGGAACCTCAGGATTCTGTCATTAGTTTTTTGTAGACTGTATGGTTCTACGGGCATCAAGGACATCTTTCCGGTTGCACTGAAGCAGATGGCCAAGGGTGAACTAACCAGACTGAAAGACGGTTACTGGAAAGGTAAACTACTGCCTCAGATGTCAGTGTTTCCCTTGAAGGGTTTAAGTTTTGCTCCTTAGCGATTGTAAGATGGAACGAGACTGGGATAGAACGATTGGGGCCTCGTCTGTCATTGT